TCTTGTTCTCCCCAAACCTATAAATCCCTGAGAGTTTTGTGTTCAAATGTGATCCACTTTCCTAGCTAAAAAATGGTAGCAATGGATTCCAAGGGGCACCCTAAGCCAATCTAACAGATTGATGGCTACACACCAGGGCTTCAACCAAGGTTTACAGTAGGGGGGAAATGGTGAGTCCCCTGGGCAATGACTGACATATGGATTACTACTCCCCAGGAAGTTAAAAACATAGATCTCTTGGAAATCAGTCGAGATAGACATTTTTAAATGGTCTAAAAAGGCCATGGGACCCCAGAGAAAACAGCCTTATCTTTACCTATCCAGTGCCAACAGAAAGTGGAATGAATACCAAAAAAAAAAAAAAAAAAGATACTGGCTATTTGCCTCAAGGGGTCAAGCTACTTTCTCCAGCCCTGTGTTGGCAATGGATTTTAAAAATGAAACACATGGCTGAGAGGAATAAATGTCTGATGCTAATGTTTAAGCTGTGCCTCTTTTCCCAAAGCTATCTTTGGGTGTTCAGGTATTTGCATTCACAGGATATTCTGTTTCACAAGCAGGGTTTGTAATTGGCTCCACAGCCCCATTATAAATGCCGGTTAACAACCAATATTTCAGGATAGCAACATTTATCAGGGTTTGCTCATTAAACCATATAAGATTAAGTAAGAGACATGTTCAACTCTTTGGCCTGGAGTAGGCAGGTTCACACTTCAGGAGAGAGACTTGTGCTTTGTCATTTTACCATGAGGGTCCCACCCCCTCCTTTTTTAAATGAAAACATATTTTAAAATTTAATATATGGACTGAGGGGGTCCCCATGTTAGTGAGCCAGGACTTCTTGCTGTCTCTGCATTTTCCTGCCTTACCCAAAAGTGAACACTGAAATAAAAAGTCTATTGTACATATTATACTGAAATGCAGATTAAATGAAACACACTGAGAAAGCAGCAAGAGCTCCTAAACTCAGAAAGTGTGGCCAAGAGTCAGAATGCTCTGGATGGCTAATTAATGGGCTGGTATATTGCAGAGGTTGGTTTTAATATTGCTTTACTAGCCTAGGGTCTAGTGCAAATCCCATAGGGGTTGTTGCCTCTGACTTCCCTTGCCTTGCCAGACAAACCTAGCTGGCGCAGGGATCTGCTTCCACAGCAGACGTTTGCTCCTTGAGCTCAATAGCTCTATTCCCTTTGAAGCCTCAACAGTCATAATTAAATGCGTCACTTAGAAAACAAACATAAATCCAAATGAAGTGTAAAAGAAGTAAACTTTGGTGGATGAGTGTTTCTTCGGGTTTCTGAATTTCCACTGTGTTGAATTCTCACATATCTGATTGAAACACTTAACACACACACAAAAGCCAAACTACGGAAAAAAAAGTAGTTTGACCACATAAAAAGTGCTATCTACCAAAGCAGTCATATTGTAAAGCAAATTAAAAGACACAGTTAGGGCTCGTTCATGGCTGCAATAGATGGATTTATGGCTGTCAGACAGCCAATGCCTGCAATGGTTACTATACAGTTACACTTGGAGAGAAACTTATTTTTTTAAATATTTTTATTTGGAACTTACTGGTAAGGTTGCTGCTGTTATCTGTCTCTTACACTATCTGTGAGACATACTGTACATTGAATATTTTTCCTCAGTCTTAACAAGGCGTTCGTAATACAATATGTACTCATCATTATTCAGAGGACTCAAATATTTTCCCTCAAGAACAGCAGAATAAAGAAACGTTGTGCAGAATGTCTGAAGCATGCCAAGCCTACTGCTGAATGCCCTGCTAAGACTCTAACTGCACTTCAGTAAAACGTTTACATCAAGCTTTGTATCACTCAATCCCTTTATAACTATTACATCTTTCCTCCATTTCATCCTAACCCCATTAAGCATGTCACAGAGGCTTGGTTGAGGTTACATTGTGCTGCAGTTGCTTATCCATAGCAAAACTTGTGACAGCAACTTGCAGCGACTTCAACTCAAGTTTATGAATTTTATAACCAGTGGTTCATTAGACCGGGATTCCTTGTGTGGAACACAGGAGGTCCCATTTCCCATCTCTAGTGAGTCTTCAAGAAGAGTAGGATTTCCTGTACCTTTTATTTTCTGCCTTGGCTGAAAGATGGATTCAATCACGTAACAGGCCTATTCTGCCATTCTAGCATTACCTCTACTGGAGGTCATTGTTAGAGGCACAGGCCATCATAATGGAATATGCTGCAGATCTCACTGAAAGTTTAAATTCTTTTGGTGACCCTGGAAGACAGTACTGTCCAGCAGGGTCTGTCCATTAAAGCATTCATAGGACTTGTCTACACGGCAAGTTACTAAGTGGCAAGCCAGGGTGAGAACCTACTATGTACCGGCTTTCTGTGCCGTAATGTCCCAAGTGGACAGTGATACAGTGCAGTGAAAGACCCAGAGTGTGGCTTAGAGTAACAGTGCTTCAAAGTGCAGTATGGTAAGCTGCACTCCGGGACTTTCCCTGCCCTATAGCAGGCTCCACATGGCAAGTTAGTGAGCACCAAGCTGGGGCACTGTAGATTACCACATACACATGCCCACACTCTGACCTTTGAACTACTCGTTTGTATCCCTGCACATGCAACAGAATTGCAGAAACTTTATTAGGAGGTTGAACAAACAACTGATTCACTTTAAAAAGATTTCACATTGTCACAATTATAGAATACATCTACTTCCGACAGTTAAGAAATGTGGAAATATATAGTTTTACTGAGGTTAATGCACATGCTTGTGTTGTTGAAGACTGGGAAAGCCATACCAGTCACACAATAAATATTAGGCTCTGGTGAATTAGTTTATGGTCCATGTCCAGCTCACTGTGGATCACATTACAAAAATCTAGAGCTGAACAAAAATTTTCCATTGGAAAACACTGATTCAAATATTGAAATGTTCCATAAGAATGTGTTGATTGCAACAAAACTTTAGGTGGAAATCAGGCAGGCAGGCAGGCTGGCTGGCTCTCTGGGCTCCTGACTGATAGGCTGTCCAGCTGGGCAGCCAGTTTGCCAATCCAGAAATTTTCAAGAAAATTCCATTTTGGTTCTTCTAAACTTTCAAAAATTTTCATCCCACAAAAAACTGTGTATTTCTGATTTGGAATGGGGGGGGGGGGAGGGATCTGAAAACACAAAATTTTCTGTAGGAATGAAATTCTGGTTCTTGCCCAGCTCTACAAACAAAACATGTTTATAGCTGGTACCCTTGTTGGCAGCTATAGCACAGGCTAAGAACAGAATGGGCACTGGACAATGAACTCTTCTTTCCTTCTAAAGATAGTTACTTCAAGTCAGGGCTGACACATATCAATGGGACAACACAGGGAAGGTCGGCCTGCTCTCTGTACCACACCTGTCCTTCAGATAAAGAGGAGCTCAGTCTGCAGTGATATCAATTAGTTGCCTTTCAGAAGCATGCCACTAAAAAAAACCCTGTGCTATTATCAGGGAAATATTCACTCTTATACCAAATAATTTAGTTTTTCTTTTAAAAGCTACCCCAGTCATTGCAGAAAATGTAAAATGTTAATTGCAAATATAATAAAACATTTTCCGTTACAGAATAATAAATAACAAGTCATACTGGGTTGGTTTATATTATATAACCTTACTCTTAGTATAAACATGTTAAATAGCGGAACAAACAAGCTAAGTCTTTTATACTATGATTTAAGAAATATGTTATTATTAGACACTTTAATGTAAATTCTAAACATGTATCATATGTAACAATTTAGAGCTTTCCAGATTAGCTAGCATGTTCCCTGCAAGCAATTTTAGTATTGCTAGTAATAGGAAGCTGTTGGCACGTTATTAGAGTAGTTTCTCAAATGAGATCCAGTTCAATTTTGCTCCAGATGTTGAACAACAGTGTCTCAATCTCAGTCTGCTAGTCTCAGCTGTGTTTGAGCTTTAGTCTTTAAAAACAACAAATCAGCATTCCAGAAAAATGATATCAAACAGGACTGCTACTCCTTTTATTTGGAATCAACGGGGACATTGGAACAAAAACTTTTCAATTACTTTCACATCCTCTCTTCAAAACAACATCCCCACAACTATGATCCTTCTTGCATTATCAAGCCAAGCATATTCTTTGTTTTATCAATTAAAGCAAAGCCCCTGAATATAAATCAGCTCCCCATCATCATCCTAAAATACTGGTTTGGTCTGACTCAGAGGGAAGAAGGTCATTTTCTGCATCATAACAATACTTCCGGAAGCTCCAGTGTGACCTCAAATCCAAGTACTGACTTAGCCCAACTTAGGTTGTGGAAAGTGACAACACCCCAGCCTTGGTTTGACTATGAGGGCAATGAAACATCATTGCTCCAATATCAGCTTCTTTATGCTATTTCACCAATGAATCTAATGATAAAAAACAAAACCTTCTGCTAACATAAATTGCAAGTGTCAGACCATTACTTTTAATTAATCCCTGGTAGCCAGGCCCAGCTAGAGATATATCTTTGTAAGAGCAAAAAGAATACCTGAGACCCCTATCTTGCCTTATATCGTCAAAGTGCTAACTGCTCATTAGCACTCCAGAGGGATTTTTAAGTATCATTTTTTCCATTTTACAGAATCTGCATCTGAGACAAAAAGGTCAAGTGATTTTCCCCACATCACAGAAAAAGTTAGCATCAGAGCTGGGATACCTGGACTCCCACTGCTATGCTCAAACCACTAGGCTACAAACCTTGCCCTTATAAAGATAAGCTTGTTGGTTTCAACAAAAAAGCATAAACAACAACAACAAACAATAACAGCATAATACCACAGGCATTGTTGCATGCTTCAGGGATTCAAATAATGCCAATTGTTTTCTAGTCTTGGGAGAGCAATAAGGAAATACAGTTAAGTGTAGAAGTTAACCAACAAAACAAAGATCTGTTTGTTCCCTGACTAAAACATTTTAGTTCAAGAAAACTACATGTAGTTAATAAGTTTGTGCAGTTATTGGTACTGTACCTTGTAAGTAAGTAAGGTGAGAATGAAGCTGGATTGTCCTGTTCTGAAAACATTGGCATGGAACCTCCCATTATCCAGAAACGGAAATATAAAACAAGAATCACCTTCAGAGAAGAACAACATCTATTGAAATGGTTACCTCCTTTTGAGCAATATTATACCATACATGGAAATCCAAATCTTTAAAATGAAGACTCAAATTTTTTTTATTTATATTTTTTTAGATGGCTCTTTAAGATTCAGCAAACACTGCAGAGAAATCAACACAAACTAGGGCTTGATATCAAATTAATTTCCAGGGCAGTTATGGAATCAATTCCTATTAGCATCAGTGGCATAGCAGGGTGTTAATCCTTGAACATCCACTAAAAAACAAACCACGTTATGAATATACATAAAAGGAATTTCACAAATATTTATCTGTATAATTTTCTACCCTTTTCTGTCATAGTGTCCCGCCACAGTGTAAGTGTGTACTACTGCCATGGACTGTATGGGATATCAAGCCTTCTCAAAACAGACAATGTTTGTGAGTATGAATGTGTCAATACCTTTTCTCATGCTGAGTAATACCTCACTCTGCACGAGTTCCACAGATTTATTTTTGAGCTGGTTTCAAGGGGATTACTTGTGTCATTAGCTACTGTTCCAGGTAAGGGAAACAGAATCTGGCATGTAGGGGGCAACAGGGAAGTTATGCTTTAAAATTAGCAAGCTTTTGATTTCTCCTTACTGCCTGTCCTGCTAGCTGGAGCAGCATGGTCACCTTCTTTCTGGAGATGGGGTTCATTCTTTACACTTGCAGTGATTACCATTGAAAAGTCAGTATTTTCCAATTAAGCCACAGTGGTATATTTTACACTGTAAATTTCCCCACTATTTAGAAAAGGATCAACTGTGGGATATTTGCAAATGTTGATTTTTTAATGATGACCTATGTAAACTAAAAGAGAATTTTAACTAACTGTCCAGCTGAAATTTTATTGGACTATCTTTCATGATTAACTGCTAGTTAACACCACCTAGTCAACCACTTAAAATAGAATTTCAGCTGCAATTTCAGCTTTCTAGTTTTGTTGGTGATACTATTCAGCAACATTAATGTTAATATTATTTAGGTGTACAATACCACATTTTTAAAATCACTCATACTTACATAACTTATTACTAAAGCAGCCCTCTTCAAAAATGGCCTTGCAGTATACAAGAAATTCTGGTTGTTACTTGCGGTCAGGTAGCTGAAATGCAAATTAACAAATACTTGCTTAAATACTTAGTAGAAAGTAGCTTGTTTTTCACACTGAAAAATCACTGGCACAATGCTCTAACCATCCTATGTCTATCAATGTGTTAACAATAAAGCTATAACGATAAGCATTTGTATCATTTTGCATTTTCAAAGCATTTTCTAATTAGAATTAGTCAACATTTTATTTCTAAATTTTAACAAAAGTTCAAATGAAAAAAATTGCAGAAATTATCACAATTGTTTCCCCAACCAGCTCTATTTACAACCATCAACTACTTAATGCTCACAAATCTCCATGTATGACTTGCCCAGCAAGGAAGAAGTCACTATCAGGCCATGATTAAAACTCAGAAGCTCCTTAACCCAATTATGTGCTCAAAAACTAGAGAAGGAGGCATAGTCTGTAAGAATTGAGCTTCTTTAAAACATCTCTCTTTTTAAGTAGAGTTCACATACTCCATTTCTATTACAAGTCACTTGACTAGCTTGTTATGATTATTAATTGAAGTGAGTCAAATGCACAGGTGGTGAAGCACTAGAATGAGTTACCTGGAGAGGTGGTGGAATCTCCTTTCTTAGAGGTTTTTAAGGTCAGGCTTGACAAAGCCCTGGCTGGGATGATTTAGTGGGATTGGTCCTGCTTTGAGCAGGGAGTTGGACTAGATGACCGCCTGAGGTCCCTTCCAACCCTGATATTCTAGGATTCTACAGGATGCCCTTCGTCTGTGGAAACCCTCCCTGCTCCACAGGCAGGTAAAATTAAAGGCTTGAGGTCAAGCCTTATAAAGCTCAAAAACTTGATCTCTCAAAATTATTCTAATACAGTAAAATGTTCTCCAAATTCTAATATGCATTTTAAAATAATTAATGACCCTCACTATGGCACTAAAGTAACTAAATACTAAATATGCTTATATAGGACCCTACAAACTTTTCGTTTTTCTGAGGAAGAAAAACAAGTAAAACATCGGCGAAGACAGTTGAGGGGGATAAGTATTTAGGGGGTGAAGAATGTTTTTAACTTAGAGAAAACAGAAGAAACATTATCTTTCAGCTTTTTGGAAAGTGTTAAAAATAAGGAATAAAAAAAATCAGTTTGTACAATCTACGAAGATTATGAAACAGGTTACAGTGCTTGTATTCAAGTGAGCACTCCAAGCAAAGAAAGAGTCATGCTTTTTCCTGCAAACATCTAGTATAGAAATTTATTTTTGATTTCCTCTCGAAATCTATCAATACACAGGATCATCTAACTACCTTTAGCCCTTCAAGTCACAGCAAAAATGAGGTCACAACACTTCCTCAAGAAAGAGAGATTCTTAATTTGTGGCTTTTTGTTCAACTTTTCGATAGCAGGAAGTTAGTGATACTAGGCACCTTTGAAATATGAAGAAAAGCTTTCACTGCTGACAAAAGCAGCAGAACCAAAACCTATATGAGAAGGAATTACAGGTTAACAACAAAAAGAAAAGAGAGTGCAGCTGGATATACTCTAAAAAATGCAATCTCTTTAAAAAACCTTCTGTAAGCATCGTTCCTAAAACATAGTAACCCAAACTATGTACTGTAGAGAAAGCTGGATAACCTCAGTCCCTTGTCGTCTACTTATTTATAAATGTTGACATTTAAGAGTAGGAGGTGACTTAAATGTCAGACTGGTCTTCAAGACCCCAATCCTGCAAGGTGAAAAGTTTTCTGAACTCCCACTGATTTTAATCAGGCCCCAACTTCCCAGAACAAGGAAACTCAGACTAGTCTTCAGGTTTTACACTTCATGAAAGGTCAGACTGGCCTTCAAGTTTTCACTATGGCCCTGATTCAAGGCCCACTGAAGCCAAGGGAAAGACTCCAAGTGACTTCAACGGGGTTTGGATCAGGCCCTGGACTTTTGTGCCAGTTGGAATGTCTCATGAAATTCAAACCTCTTATGACTTTTAGTAAGCAACAGAAGTGGTTGGTTGTATTTTGTTTACATTATTATAGGCGGGGCTTGTAGCGCAGCCTACTGTTAAGGTTGCCTAACACTTCCCATTATAATAGCCTGTTTACACTTGGTTAACATCTGTCAAATTTTCTTTTCATGCAGATTCCATTACGAAATATGTTTTTCTGACTTAAAAAGGGCTTGTGCTATGAAATCTACGAGGAAAACCATGAAAGATAATAACATCATACTCTGCTTGTTGATCCAGCTCTCCTGGCCATCCAAGCTAGAGAAGTGGCATATATGAAATACCAACCCATGGGTAACGATATGGGTAACTTAGCTCATCAAAATGCTGTTTTGCCAGAACCCTGGTGTATTCTGGATGTCTTATGGGTGGTATTACTGGTCTCAGAAAGACTAACTAGGAAGACATCTTACTTGTGGCCAATGTGAGCAAAGGACAATTCACTGTTCCTGTCGCAAATTCCACAGAGCTGCAGATCAAGCAGAAAAAGTAAGTTTTCTAAATAGCAGTCATGCACAGCTTCCAAAATACACAAGGTAAAATTGCAGCTTAGAGACACAACCTGGATCAGGTTTGTTTTTCTAGTGCAGCTTGCTTGTTTGGTTTGTAAGTTGCTAATGATTCTTATTTGGTAAGCTAACCAGGATATTTAAAATAATAAATGTAATTGTTTTGCACTTTTGCAAGATTTCATTGTTTTGTACCTTTATAAAAACAACTGCCTTTTATACCGAGTCAGTCACAGATCAGAATTCTATTCACTTGCTAGCCACACAGCCCTGTCAAACATCTAAGAGTATGTCTGTACTGCAATTAGACACCCACGGCTAGCCTATGCCAGTTGACTTAGGCTTGTGAGGCTGGGGCTAAGAGGCTGCTTAACTGGGGTGTAGATGTTCCGGCTTGGGCTGCAACCTGACCTGTGGGATCTGTCCACCTCACAAGGTCCAAGAGCCTGGGCTCCAGCCTGACCCTGAACAGCTACACCACAGTTAAACAGCTCTGCGAGCCCGAGACAGCGGGCACATGCCAGCTGTGGGTTTTTAACTGCAGTGTAGACATACCCTAATACACCTCTCTGTTCAGAAGGATCACTCCACATCATCAGCTCCATCCACATATGCACAAGAACACAGATTCCTAGTGCTCATGCACACCCCATACTGGAGTCAGGGTGGGACACAGAGAAGAAGAAAACTGTATATTACCAGTAGCTCTGTGCAACAAAAAGAATGATCTCACAAAATATTAGTGCCTCATCATAACAATACAGTAAACATTTCAAGATGTGGATCTCACTGATTTTAATGAATAGAGCAAATTGGAGCAGGAAATCCAGATTGCCATTTCTGCTAACCAAGTGTGAAAAAAGAACATTTGGACAGAGGTTTCAACTTGCCTTCATGCCAACTCTCCCACAAAGCAAAATCCACTATGTAACTGGCTACTTGCTGTCTTTTAAAAGCCTGAGAGGAATACTCCCTGAAGCAACACAAAGACACAATAAATCCAAAAATGCTTAATAACGCAAGGATTTCTCTTACCCACTTCGAACAGAGGCCAAGACAGATATTTGGCAGCTTTGATTTCCTGAAAAGTACAGCTCATCCTGAAATCAATTACATTATCACAGCATTCAGAGATTTTATAACTGAGGACAGCAGGTAGGTAGCCTAGTAAAACTCAAAACCATGCAGTTTACAGCAACGTAAAAATTCCTGGTACCAGATGGACTGTGTGTTAATCAAAACAAAGTTCTCTAAGGAACAGACCTCTTTTTTCTTTTCTTTTAACATTTGAGGCATCCCAAGTTGTCGTGACACTATGACAATTGACACCAGCTGAGGATCAGCCCCAATCCGTAAAGTAATTCTTTTCTGTATAAAACAGCAACTCCTTCTCTCCTCCTCTCCACCCTCCACCCAATCACCTTGGGCACTACAGAAATACAACAAACAGTTAAAACATTAAAAAAAATACTTTAACATCAGGGATCCCAGAAGGAATGAGGTGAGATCACATTGCTAAATACACACACGCCCCCCCTTTAGTGTCTTATTCTTCTAGAGCTGGAGAGAGGAGACTCCATCTCCAGAAGAACACAGTTTTCCATTTCCATTCCCACAGCCTCTCTGTCAAACCAAGCCCCCTCTAGCCCAGTTGCGGGGGAGGCAAAACAATCACAACACTATGAAAACCCACATATACCAAAGAGCAAAATAAGAGCATTATTAGGAAATGGGTGGGAAGCTTATATCCAGTGACAAAGCCATCCTTTGAAAATGCAGTTCTCTTGTGGGGATGGTCAATATTCCTTCAGTAAAAAAAAATTGTCTCCTTTTCTACCTACTCACATCTTCATCATAATCTGCCCAGCCAACTGAATTTTGTATTCAAGTAGTATCTTTGCACCCTAGTCAGGCTTATTTTTCCTGTATGAAGAGAGACATTGTGGGACAAGCTGTCAATGACATTCCAGTGAGAAAACAAGAACCAAACACAGACACAGGGTGAAGCTGAAAAATAAACAAATATATTCCAGATGCCTGCAGGTTTTCAACTCACTTAAAATACCTGTCAGTGCTGGGAAATAAAATATCAATCACAGCTACAAACGTAATGAGGGGGAAAAGAAAGGTCTCCTGCTTTCCTCTTTAGACTTGACATTCCTTGCAGCACATGTGTTGTATCCCAGCTCCCTTACCTCTCTGGAGACTGTTAAACCCCAATCATCACCACCACACACACAGAGGCAGGTACACAGAAAAGTCGTTGTTGGCAATTTAAAGGGACATGGTCAGCTTTAAAAAAATTCACAATTATTTTTATGCCGTTGTCTTACTAACAGCTAGCACTCAATTTTCAGAAGTTAATAGTGATTCTGAGTGCCTTGGTTCTGGGGTCCTCAGGCTGAGACACCTTAAAGAGCCCTGATTTTTAGATGGTGGGTGCTCAGCACTTTCTGAAAATCAGGCCCTTTCAAGATTGAATCTTAACTCAGCTTGCAAAATGAAACTTGTCCGTTACAATTTCTGTT